TTATTTTTTATTTCTTAATTTTTTTTTTACATTACATGTGAAATTAACAACACTGCCAGCAACTGTCCAACTACAATGTTAATGTAATTTCCTGAATCAATGAAAAAATCTCAGACTGATGTTTCCATCTTATAAGTTAAGAAATTTTTACTGAACATTTCCCAGCATTCACAAACTTTACTCTGAATTTACCAACATGCACAACCAACACTGGTAGGCTCCTTGTTGAATATGTCACCAAGCAGGGAAATTTAAGATATAGCTATAGTATGAAACAAAACAGAAAAGTGCCAAACAAATCAAGTCAGAAAATTCCCACGCTCCTTTTTTTGAGAATCTTTTTTTGGAAGTATTGGTTCCACTGTGACTAAAACCAATTGGACAGACCTTCACATCCAATGGAAGTCTCCAACCCATGGTATGTCACATTTCTAAATAATACAGTACTATATAGATCCTGGTAAAAGTTAATCAATGCAACTTTTTTTTTAATTCATGTTCCTGACCTGGTTAAAAATATTTCTAAATATACTACAAGAAACAAACTGTAACTACAACTTAAAAATGTGCAGAAGACCAACTTATTACACTAAGAAAATTTTCAACCCTATATGCAAGATAATGTATAACATGAATATATTTTATCATTATAAAAACAACCAAGAATAACTCCTTCAGGATAATTTATTCACCTGAAACAAGATACATCACCAAACAAAGACACTGGTCAGTCTGCTTTCACTACCTTGTCTTTTTTTTCCTTTCTGTAGATTACACTCTGTTTCCTTACAGCACAATTTTCACAATCAGAAGTATCAGCACCATTGGCAAAGACAGAATTTTATAAATATTTGATGAAAAAGAAATGCATATAATACAGAGTGAAATCTGTGCAAGTATTTTACAACTTTTAGTGAGTTTTATTACTTATACTTTATGTGCTTTCTGTGTCAAATGCAGGACTGCAAATAAATCAGTATAACACGTGTATCCTTTTGAGTACAACTATGACGACAACTCTTAACTTTTCTTTACACAGCTTTACTACTGTAATAAAGCTGTACTTATTTTTATTAATTTGAATACCTAAAACTACAAGATTCTCAACCTTCAAATGCATGCTTTTAATTCTGAAGATGTTCTTACAAAACTAATAACATTTCTACAGTTTTCTAAACTCATACTGACTTGAATGCTGCTTATTCTTGGGCAACTGGTAAGCTTAGTATTCTTGAACAATTTGTATTAACTTTACACTTAAATTTACGAAAAACTCATTGAGCTTTGTAATGGTACACTTTTATTTTAATTTGGCAGTGAAACTGTTATTATGGCAGATAACAAGAACAATTTTTCAAGTACTTAGTTTTGTACTGTATTTCACCAAAACTTTTCACAATTATAGCAATTCCCATAACTAAGAATTCTTTCCAAACCTTATGCATAAACATCATTACACTTATATTTGTATAGGGAAGCATATTACGCAAGGATATTTGTATATATAAGTCACAGCGATTTGTATGCATAATGAAATATTTCAATACATATTACATGTTTGGACACAGCATTGGTCTGTCTTCTTCAGGTCAAGCCAGACCAATGCTGTGTCAAAACATGTAGTATGTATTAAAGTATTTCATTATGCTTACAAATCGTTGTGACTTATATATACAAATCATTTCACCTGTTTCTACTCAACCATTAGTCATATTTTTTGTTAAGTTTTAATCTGATACATTTGGACATTAGACATTAACATAAAACCATATACTTTCAGAAGCAAAGAAACCAGAAAACTTCCAATAACCACAGAGAAAACAACTTACAAAAAACAAACTATGAGATCAAAAGGTAAGCTATCTAATTTTTCTGAATTAAGAAAAATGTGGCATAAACTCAGTATTTTCTTTTCTTTTTACCAGTACTTAACAATATTTGTACTTATCAAATCAATAATATATATATAGCAAAGTATGAAACTGGTGCCAATTAAGTGAGAAATAAAAACAAAAAATCTAAAATAAGAAATTAAAACAGTAATTATTGTAGAAAAATAAAAAGTAGCTTTCCACTAAATACTATATTCCTCAAAGCCAGCAACCTTCAAATAGAGTAACAAAAGAATGGGACATAATAAACTTACGACATATCAGTGACAATTAAACAGTCCAGTCACTTAACTCTTTAAACCCATAATTTTTTGCACATTCTACCAGAATTATTTTCATGATTTCCTAATAATTATCACCATACGTTATAAAATTTTAATTTTCTTAATTTTGTGGATAACAACATGGTTTGGATTAGATTTCAGCCACAGAGACATAAATGTTTGATGGTGACAATGTCACCATTTGATGGGTAAATTGGAATTTTCGGTCAGATGCTGATAGCGTCTGCTCGGGTTTAAAGAGTTAAGTCTTATTTTGCATTTGTGAAGTAACTTATACTTCCATAAGGAAATCTATAGTTTTCTTTCATAAAATACTGAACCAGACCCATTACAAGTCCTCATCATGTGAATGATGTTCAAGTGAACATCATTCACATGATGAGGACTTGTAATCCTCACTATCAATCCTCACTACTAACACTTTCTCTAGCAGTCAAGTTAAAAAATTATATAATGGTTAAATTCTTTACTCAAACACGGATTAAATAGTGGGATTAATATCACCATCAATGAAGAATACACTATCATTAGTGAAATTATGAAAAATATATTAATAAAAAATATGTAATAGCTCTCTGGCATCATCAGCTTTGCATTTGAATTGACTTCATTGTTTCGAATGTATCTAATTTTTCCTATAAAAAAAATTCTCAATAAAAAATTCCACTCTATTTTATCTTATTTGGACATGTAAAGTATAGTATCTACTTCTTAATCTTAAAAATTATACAAATCTTCAAACATATATTAAGAGAAACATTCAAAAAATGTAAATATGGATATAGGTGGGTGATGTATAATTAAATACATTCATAGGGTTTTCACTCGAAAAAAAAACACCAACAGTAGTTAAATAAGTCTGAGCACAGCAAGTTATCAGGTTGTTTGGCTTTTGCCAAATTAACTGGTCAAAAACAGCTACAATACACACTATCAAATTAGCTGATCTATTTGATAGTTCTTTTTTTTTTCAAACATCCTCAGTTAACTCATTTGCTATATAGGTGTTGGTTAATAATTAATGCATCCATTACAATAAATACACAATATCTTTAAAAAAGGATGAGAAACTATGCTTACACCATATAATTTTGATGACATGTATCAAAAAACACACAAGTTTCAACTTCTAACAAAATATTTCAGGTGTTACAGTATGTCTACTATACAAACAGACTTAGGAAGTGGGAATATTTGCACATGAACAAACAACTCTAAACAGAATACACTGTTTTTTAAAACTTTACTAGAGCCTTCAAAGTCAGAACTCTCACAGAAATAAAGAATTAATTGCATAAAGAAAATACCTAGTCTCTTCTTCATATTATAATGACTAATAATTGCTAGTATGTTTTACAAATATTTTTAAACTAAATCAAATTTCAAGTCTTCAAAGAGTTATATTTATGTCTTCTATTAAACTAACCCTAAAGTGATACTACTACTACTGCTCTTTGCATGTCGAGATACCTATGAACCCAACATCTGAAGAAATGATAAGCTATATTTTCTAACCATTTAAATCAAAATATCAACACCAGTGAAATTACAGTCTGCACTTAATTAACAGAAGTTTGAAATTTCCAACATAATGTTCAGTTGTTACTAATATTCAACATAACATAGTATGAGTATAAAAAAAAATAGTGCTCTATCCTTAGCATCTATATCTGATGACTTTTATAATATTGTTGATGTTAAATTCAAATTATAAACTTTCAACAGATTTGCCACACAGATAAATAAAAGAAATCACACAGGACCAAACTATCACCTTTCCTTCTAATTATTAGATTGTACATGTTTAAATGGCCCCTTAATATCCAGCTTGAAAATGCTCAAAGTAGTACAAGCATATCAAGACTAGGACTCTGGTTATAATGTCAGAGAATGAAAAACTGATGGCTCGGTTTTCTCACATGATGATGGAAGATGTGTGGACAAGACAAGCCTACAGCCTTGGAAAATGAGATCACTAGCATACAAATACAAAAGAAGTTTCTTGGGATGAAATTAAGTACAAAAGTTTTGAATATCACCATACAAAATAATTATTAGAAACATGTTTGTCATAATACTCATATTTCACTTTTATTCAAAACAGAATATTAAAATGTTTTCACTTACCTAAGTTTTCTCAACAAACAATATGCTGATCTACATTATCAGCAAATAAGTAAGAACCCTGAAAAACTTTTTATTTATAAAAAATATGAAGATCTGTTTAAATTAGAAATGTCCAAAAATAAAACCATCTACACTTAGCAAGTGAAAAAACAAAATTCTGACTTGAATAATTCCAATTAACCTGTTACAAATGTTATCCAGTCTATGACATAACTGAGGCTTTTATAGAGATGAAGTCGACACAAAATTCACAAGATTGTTTTAAAAATACACTAGTCTTCATACCCAAAAAGTTTTCTAATTATCTATAGCATAAATTAAACAAGAAAGATTAGAAAAATATTCTCTCTCCTCAGGAAAGATTTTGCCTTATAGCTTTTATCAGGAGTTTTCAGACAGTTTAGAACTTGTGTGTCTGTAGTATAGTATAGTAATTTTTGATAATCATTATGGCCAATCATGGTCTGTTTATAGTCTGGAAATAATTGTAATTACATCATTCTTTACTGACCTAACACAGTTTCCAGTACGAAAAGCATAAAATAGAATTTTAAACACCACCATTTGCTGACATGGCCTTTTACTCAATACTTGTGCTCATCGAAACAACTGAGTTAAATCATACAAACTCATAGTTGAAACTATTGAAATCAGTCATTTATGAGACATCAAGCCTTACACTGTATAACATCTAAGCTGAAAACCAGTACTGGCCCCATAATGAATGATGTAGTTAGATTACTAGTCTTAATGCAAGATACTACATTCAGACAAGCACTATACTAGACTTTTAAGTTACCAAAACCAGGAAAGAAAAAGGTGATTTATTTTCTGAAAGTTTTAGTTAATAACTAAAAAAAAACTTAAAATGAAAGAAAGAATTGCCGACAGTATTTTTCATAATGGACAGTTTAAGCTAAATAGATATATGGAAAGGTCAAACAAAGTAATATTAATAACAATGCTGTATTGTAAATTAGAATTTGCTATCTGGATCCATAAAAACTAGGTCTTTCAACTTCACTGTAACTAAAAACTACTAACATGTATAGTTTCCCATTACTAATGTTAGAAAACAAATATAAGAACAAAATAAAATCAGAAGAAACAAATCTTACAAATTAATATACTGTTATATCAAAATGTAATATAAATCAATTACTACATATGTCTATGTAGTCACCTGAGATAGATAATGTCAAAAATAGACAAGAAATAAAAATCTTAGGTCATGAGTTACATCAAGTCATAGATTGTTAACCTGTAAAATTCTGCGATGAACCTGTGAACAAATTTTAAAAGCTGTTTGAGGGAAATGACACTAAGTAAATAATTAATCAGAAAGGTTTACCTTTTGGCACAAACTAGGTAAGTTTCTGAACAAAGTCTCTGTCTACAAGATATGAGACTTCTCTACTTGCGGACAAAAAGTTTGAAGCTCAAAGAAAATACAGCTACAAACAAATTTGTTCATCAGCATCACCTCAGAGGATATGCCTTCAGTCATGACTACTGTGCTTGAACTTAAATTGAAAACAAATGTACTGTTAGTGTTTTAATTTAAAGTTACCTGAATACAAATTACAAGGGAAAATAACCTTGTGACTTAATAAGGATGACTAACATACTATAACTTGGTTAACCAGTGTACAAAATGTGTAACTGTTGTTTATGAATTAATTCCAGGGAATTATGAGGGGAAAAAAACCTAACTAACTACGGTAGAGGTAATGAGACAGGTCATTTAATGTACAGTTAAAAGTGCTCATTTTCCCCAGGCTAAGGCATTAGATGAAGAAGTACTATGCTAGTTTCACGCTAGCCCATAAAAGATGCTAGCGTGAAGAAACCGTTAGCAGTGTCGACCTCTCCAGTACTCTTTGTATTCAGTGTAGCTTACTGTAAGTTTCTCACTTTGATAGCGAGTCAGTCTGACAGAACGGCGCACTTCATTAGTGATAACTCCTTTATAGCCTCCTTTTCTTAGTAGGGAGTCAACTGTTTGGATTCTGTCCCAACCTGAATAAATTTATACACATTAGCAGTTAACCTGTACACAAGCATTTGCAAGTAATATTCCATAAGATTTTCTGAACAATTAAAATTTATGGTATAACTATATTTCATAGTTTTTAGCAGTTGGAGTCTTAATGCAATACATAAAGAGTGGGAATTAAATCATACAGTCTTATTTTTTAAACTAGTTAATAAAGTTGTGTAAACAGACATTTCACACAATACAGAACAAAGGTATATCACATACAGGTTGTAAATATTTTGCACATACATTTCACAAGTAATGTAAAACAAGCATTGCAAATGTTTTAGCAGGAAAATGATAGAAATATAATACACTGATATCTCTTGCAAAATGAATTTTAAAACAGACAATTTGTGCACAATGGAACTTATTTTTTAATTAAAAAATAAATACCATTTAAGCAATTTTAAATATATATTCATATAATTTAAATTCTCATCATGAAGCCCCCAAATAACTTTCCACATGTAAGGGTTAAAATTACGGACCAATTATTTCTAAAACTCAGGGTAATATACACATAATAAAAATCATTATCACAAAATAATGAACATATTATGTTACATTATTCTGTCAATCTCAATACTAAGGTTTCAACCTATAAAAGCTTTATACAACCCAAACAAGTGAATATAAGGTGCTTTCTTATTCCATTAAACATCTTTAAAGTTAGAAAGGTTTATTAATAGAAACTACACTAATAATTGAAAACATCATTATAAAATAAAAAAATATTTACATACACATTCTTTTTGTAAATATTTTAGCTTAATAAATACTACAAATCCTGCTCATGGCACTAGTAATTACCTGACCATAAGGATAAACCCACCCTGTTCTGGAGCAACTTCGGGAAGATATGTAGCTGTCCGTTTTGAGCCTTTGTCTGAAGTAAACTCAATACGAATACCGTGAATTCCAATCTGCAACATGTATGAACAACAAATCAAAATAACAAAGCTTGAGAAACGAGTAATCCAAAATCACTACACTCAAGTACAAGGTGATGCAAAAGTTTCACGCTAACACGATTTTTATAAGTACAGGATTACATCCACAATTCTTTTCAAGGTTACTGACATCCCAACCAATTATTGTAACAAAAAGGAAAAGAGACAACTACTGAAACACAAATATGGCTTAGAAGAATCACAGTGAGCGTAAGGTTTAAAAATATGATTGAAATAGTGCACAACTTTTGCATCACCCTGTATACATTTTAGCATCTAATAGTTGTATATACAGAGTACTATATATATTCATTAAGTAAATACCATAAAAAGATTGTATGAATACTCTTATAACCATAACTTAATTTTTTTATTATTGACCAGAAGGATTTTTCTAAGAACATACAGACAAGCAATTTTAACTTTTAAAATCACAAACCAAAAATGTACCAGCTAATGAACCAGCTTGATTACTACATCTTAACAATAGGTATAAGTAAGATTTTTACAGCCTAAAATCTAAATTGTCAAAGACTGGCTTTCGTTGTTATTTTTTTTTACAAAATACAACAAACTGAATAAAACTGCCTATAAAATCAGTGTCAGGGATCTGAAAATGGGAATATGAGGCAAGTCAGCTCAAGTGAACAAAGAACAAAAAGGATAAGTCTCCTATGGCTTCTTAGAGAATATTCTGACTTTATTCCCTAGAGTACAAGTCAAAGAAGAAATCAAAATGCAAGCAAACCCATATCAAGTACAGGATAAGCATGGACAGACAAGCTTCTAAGTCATGTAAATGAGAAACTAGGTGATGCACGGTAGATGTAGTGCTAAGTGAAAATATTTTATTGGCGCAAATGCACGAGTGGTTCTAATGTATGTCAGACTTTAAAGAAGTCTAATAATATAGTTGCAGAGTCAGATAAAAATTCTGAATCACAATATGTTCTGGATATTGTATGAAGAAATGGTAACTGTAATGATAAGCACCCTTGGTTATAACCTACTAAAAAGCACAAAAGAAAGACCCAAAAAGTTTTAAAAATGAAAAATAATTTTCTGCTGAACTATTGCCAAAGACGACACATAAGAGAAGAGTCAGAGGTTAGGAACTTAGTCAAGAACAACATCCTGCAGGAGATGTAGTTTGGTGTGTCTATATATATACACACACAACAAAACTCATACCCCCTTTTTCTTTTACCAAACTGTTCTTTCTTTTATAAGTTTTGTAGTATCACAGGCTACTCTTCAGTATAAAACTATAAAACAACAAAACATTTTTGGAAAAGTAATAATTTTAAGTTTAAAGTGGAAGTAGAAAGATGAAGTGATAGTAGAAATGGCATTACAGTACCAGAGAGGATCCGTACCAAATAACACATAGGAAAAAAACAACAGACAAAACCAACCACACATGCTGAAAGAAAGTCATGATGGGGTCTTTCAAGCACTGACATTGTTATTAAATAATAAGCTGAAAATAGTAAAAAACTAAAAAAAAACAAAACAATGGAACACAAACAGAAATCAAATTCAATAGAGATGAGGTGGTTAATTTTTTTATTATGTCATGTGGCTATCATTTCAACAAGACTGGATGCTAAAAGAGAGTTGTAAGCCTCCATTTCTAAACATTGCTGTTAAATGATCAAGTGATAACAAAATAGAATTTGTTGGAAAAAAATTAAACAAATAATGTTACAGAAAACTGACTTAATTGTTTAATTTTATGTAATTTCTTTCTTAACTGAAGTCCCAATCAAAAGTTCTGTTGATTATTTACGAAAGAAATTAAGAGAAAATAAAGTTTCAACAATAAAAATTATATACATTATTAGTGATGTAAAAGTTATGTAGAAAATCCTTTTTTTCCATTTAATAACATATATTACAAACAGAACGAAGGAATAGCTATGAGACCACTGTTGTCATCATTATTGTGTGATCTTATTAATGAGTTTAAAAGTCAAGCTTTAAATACATTTAATTTGTTGGTTGGTTGGTTAACAGCAAAGCTACACAAATGTTATCTGTGCTCCACCCAAACTGAGAGTAAAATCTGATTTTTAGCATCGTAAGCCTATAGACTTGCTGCTGAGCCATTGGGGACAAGTTTAGTTTGACAGAAGAAATTTGGATAACATGATGAGACATTTGAGATAAAGTGACATGGTAAAAAGAGATTCAAAGTTTGTCAGTTAACTAATTAGTTTAAGACTTCCATTAAGTTGAATTATGAGGAACAAGGAAATGATAATTTACTTATATATATATTAGTTAAAAAAGTGGGAAAAATTAGGGCTATCAATTTATCGTAAATCTTTCTCTTTGATTATGCCACCACATCAAAATCATGTCATACACGAGCTCAAACAATATCAGTTTATTATATTCATATACAGCTATACAATTGTGTTCTAAACAAGATTTATATAATGAAACATAAATGCTCAAATATGTAGCAGTGAACACAAAATTTGTGAGGGGGATACTACCAACAATCACAGAGCCAAAGCAAACTATAGCAGAGCCTACATTCACCTGATTTGAAATGATTCATAAAAATTGGAACAAAATAATGGTTTCAAAAGTGTTCTTAAAAGAGAATTCAGTATTTCCAGTTGGGAGTATCCAATTTCTTCAGATGATTCACTGAAAAGACATAAGTGGGATGGTAACAAGACATGGTGGGATGGGCTGATCAGGTTCTGCAATATCATCCAATGTCAGGCCAGTATCAATTAACTGTGCTTAAAGACAAAGGTGAAAGTGAGGAATAGTAAACAGTCTGTTTGCAAAAAGAAGAGCCCACTGAGACATGAAGACAAAACACCAGGTGGGATGCTGTGGTAAGGATAAGAGCTCTGCAGCATATTGTAAAGAAGGTTGCAAATATCTAAGGTAAGGTGTAGGATCACAAGACTCAATGTACAAAATTTGGACTAGAGAAGAGCATAAAGCCACCAAGCAAAGCCAAAACCCCTAATGATACACAGGATCCAACATCTTCAAGGCAGAGTCCTTGGTTGAACCATAGACTACAGATGAATAGTCCACCTTATATTAAATGAAGGCATGACAGAACTTCAGTGTATAACATATATCTTCTCTCCAAGAGGTGGAACAAAGGATGTGGAAGAGGTTCAGTTCCCTTGTATGTTTGATTTGAAGATGCTTAACATGCAAAACAAATGTCAGATTATGGTCAAAAAGAAGTTCTAAATATTTTGTTTCAGCCACTATGGGAATAATGGCACCTCCCAAGTGGAGCTCATTATCAGGGTGCAATCCATGCTGGTAGCAAAAATGCATGTAAATGGCTTATAATGATAAGAATGTAAAACTATTTGCTGTTGTCCATTCAATCTGAAGTTGCTGCTAAGTATAACTTCTATATGATGACAGCAAGAAATCTGAAAGTCATCTGCAGTTTGCAAATATAGGAGGAAAATGTTCAGTGATAGCACTGATTTTAATGCTGAAAAGTGTGACACTCAAGAAACAGTCCTAAGGGGCTTCAAGTTTCTGTGTGAAGGATCAGAGTAAATGGTTTATCAGCTCAAAAATAATGTGGTGTTCTTGTGGCTTGATGGCCAAAAAGGCAGGGGAAGAGGTGAATGAAATGGTGAGAAAGTAAGCCCAAAGGGTGCTAGCAATACCCTGTAAGTCAGTAACCTGTTGGCTATCAGAATGCAAGATCAAAAGAGGATGATAGGTATACTTTCAGTTTTCCTTTCAAATCTTGTCCCAATCCATCTTGGAACTGATAGTGGAAGAGATACTGGAAGTGAAATTAATCCCAGAATCCTTCTGGCTGTGACATCTAACTTGTCGGGCATAGGCACAAACCTGGTAAAAGGTCATGCAAGTGGAAAGAGTGGTATACCTATGGAAGATATCCCAGGCCTGTTTCTGAGTTTACTGTCCCTGTTGGCAGTTAGGAGTCCACCATCGACAAGGGTACAATGGTAAGCATGTTGAGGTTTTATGAACAGCTGCCTGAACAATACAATCAGCTACTGCATCCAACCAATCATTAAGGACAGGTTAATGACAGCAGGACCAAGCTCTGAGAAAGTGTTGAGAAAGGGCTTGTTAGCCCACTCCAGTTTTCACCATGGTATACCAGATGGATGGCATTAACCACAGCCAATATCTCTAAGTATCATGGAAAATTATCACTGACTTTGGGATCGCTATCCACCTTTCAAGAAAAACAAGGAAGAGAAAAGGAACAAATGAACAGATCTATTGCAGTAAAAGCTGACTTGAGATATGAAAATAAGTAGATGAACCAGTGTTGAAAAAAAGAGCGTGAGATCTAAAAGCACATGCTTATGCTTTACAGATCAACCATCCTATCAACATCCTTAAGGGGATTGTGTCCATTAAAGTCTCCCAGGAAGAAAAAGGGATGGAAACTTCTCGATAATCAAGGTGCTTGATCAAAATGATCTCCTACTGACAGATAAAAAAGAGCAAGGTGTGATGATATGAACAATGGAGACTTCAATGGCAACAGCCTCTAGTAGTAATACAATCACACTTGTGGGTGCAACACCACCATTAACCCATCTGTCACACAACTTGTCTTTTGTATAAAAATAAAAGATGCCAAAAGATGACAGTAACAACAGTTTCAGGAATGTCTTCTGTAACAAGAAACACAAAGGGGTGGTAAGAATTGATCATGGTCATGTTTTCATCTAAATTAAAGCCTAAACCTCAACAGTTCCGCTGTATCAGTGTAACCATTTTTACCTAGAAAATCTAGGTGGAGAGCCTTCATGTTTTGATTTATGACCTTTTACTCAGTAGATTGATTGACCTCCATAGGTCCTGCCCTGGATTGATGTGACAAGCCCCTTTTAGGTAAACACAATTCCAACTAACAAGGATGTGACTGTAAAGTGGTCCTAAACTTTGGCATTGATAAAAGTGGACCCGATCCTTCACTGCAGTTAGTA